GAGGGCTCATTCAGGACTTCCTGTATGGCCTTCAGGAAGTTGTTGTTTTTGTCCACTGTGGCTAATGTAAGAATCTGAGCTGCTCCTCTCTCTTTCAGACGCAGCAGGTTGTCGTATTGGTCGAAAAACACAGGCAGACCCACAACTGGGACTCCGTGATAAATAGCCTCTTGCACGCCATTTGTTCCTCCATGAGCCACAAATAGTTTTATCTTAGGATGTCCTAAAAGATCATTCTGTGGCATCCAGTCGACTATTAAAGTGTTGTTGCCCAGAGTGGCGGGTCTGTCACCTTTATGCCTCCAGATCACTTTCTGAGGTAATTGAGCAAAAGTAGCAGCGATCTTGTTTGTTATATCAGCAGGAAGTTCACTCCACAAAACGTCCCCAGGACATGAGATGACTCCATGCTCTCCAGGAACTTCTCGCAAAAACTCCTCCAGGTGTCAGGTAGAGGTTTGGCAGGTTTACACTGGAACCCTCCCATATAGATAACATTAGGCATGGTGGGGCGAGGGAACTCAAACACAAAGTCCACTCTCATGAGCCAAAGGTCTGCATTAAGCACTAGTTTGTTATAGTCATTATCGGGCCCAAGATATTTGTCACATATTTTCTGGTATATTTGCTTAACCAGCAGGTGATTTTGTACATCATTACCAAGACTCAAAACCATGTTTATAACTCTCTGAAAAAAGGTCATCTTATCAGTGTAGCCAGATAATGTCATAGGAATATATGATAAAGGAGAAGGAGCAATAGCAAGATGACCCTCTCCACTAAGTATCCAGCGAACATTGTAAACCAAAGGGAGATTCAAATATTTGGCCAAAATCACTCCACCACCCCAGCAGGGGTCGGTGAGCACCAGGTCAAACTTGCTGTTCTTCAAGTTTCTCATCAACTCTTGGTCACCTAGCATCGCTGACACAAATTCACCTATGCTTGTGTGAGCTTCAACAAATGTGCTGAACATTCCTATAGTCACATGGAGAAAGTTTTCATAGGGAAGAGACCGCCTTTCAAATTCAATGACCATAGATACCATTTCTGTTATGAACTTCTGATCTAAGCTCCTCTCCACTTCAACTGTAAAGGTATCGTAATAAGAAGATTTATCCTTGATGTACCAGCTTTTGCTGGAACGCAGAATAGTTATATTGTGTCCTCTTGAGTGCAAAGCATGAAGTAAGATATCCATGTTTATCCAGTGGCTGCCTTCCGTAGGAAGGACCAAGATGTTGCCCCCTTGACAGGCTGTTGGAATGAGGGCAAGCAGCAGCAAAACACTGCAGCAATAGATCGGCCTCATCTGAAATAAAAACAATGGACAATCAATTGACCAAGGTGAAAAAATGCTATTACAGCAGAAATGTACTGTGATAATCTACATAGGCTAGTTTTCTTTTTTAAACTTAGTCAACCCAAAATGTTTGCAGTTGCAAGCTGTATACTGAATAGAATATTTCTTACTTTCATAATGTCTTTGTATACCTCCATCTTTTGCACTATGATAATGATATTATTGCAATATATATAAAAAAATAATTTTCTATAAATATATTCTAGTAAAAGTCACTTTGATGTAAATTCAAGTAAATTAACTGCAATTAGAAGACATCTGCAGTCGAATACATTGGGTCTGATTGCCTTCACCCACACTGTTAATTAGATCATCAGTTAAAGCTCATTTGTATGAAAGCATTACTTTTCACAAAATACTTTACCATTCTTCCTCTTTTAACTGACTGAGCAGCAAAGTCAGCATCAGAATCTCATTAACATACAGTATACTAGCATTACAAAGCATTTCTACTCACTGTAGTCCGTATTTTTACTCCACATACGAAAAGTCACGGTGTTAGAGAACTGCTTTTTTACAGCGGTTGTTTGCCAAAGTTGGCAAGTCCAGACTTTAATCCTGAACGGAGGAGCGGTTTAGGATGGCGGTGGAGCCACTAACAGGCAATACTCTGTACGGAGACACCAGTGATAAGAAAGTTACTGATTGATCAGTAAATTAACAATAAGAAGCAATATGTTGGCATAATCTGAACTACTCTGTGTTGAATATATTTAAGATTATTGCATTCAGAGTGTATGGTATAAAATGTGTCTACGGCCCTGTGGCTTCAGCTTTTGTATTCATTTATTCATGGAACTACTGATATCATAAAATACAAAGCCAAAGAAAAAGTGGTATACATATATAGCAAGATGTGTGTCACTTAGATAACAGTGGTTTTTATATTTGCACCACATACAGTGTAATTTACCAACAGATTGATTAACATTTCAACAACACTGACTAGGTGACATTATATGTGATGTGTGCAAAATCGTTCATACAGACATCTCACAAAACAGTCAGTAGAGCGGTTAGTGTTGTTGAATGCAAACATGTGTTTTGTATCAAACTCACTCCGCAGTAATTCGGGGGGACAAAAAGTCCACATTCATAGTTTCCTTATCACATGATCCTTAAATGTGTCATCAACCTGATTTGGTAAAATGATAAAGTT